CCCGGGGGCACGGGGAAGGTCCCTGGTCACTCCCGGGGGCACGGGGATGTGAGTGGCACACTGCAGGTGCCGCAGGAGGTCGTGGTTGGGTGGCACAATCAGCTCTCTCAGCCTCTCCCTCTTGGCTGACCCCTGGCTCTGGACTGAGGTTCCTCGCTCAAAGGAAGGGGTCCCACTCTCACGAGACTCCCCCAGCGTCAGAGAAGAGATCTGAGACATGTAAAGCAAAGGTTTAAGGTAAGTGTAACCTCCAGCTTCTGAAATCCAGCAGCTGCAGACAAAGGATTTGCTCTTGCTTGCAGCTGCTTGTCAAACATCTGAGGTTTTTCAAAGACAGGCAAAGCAAGGCAATTGCATTCAAGGCTGAGATTTAAGATAAACGTACATATTATATCCCTGTGCACATCTCCGTGGTTATTAGACAAGTTTTAACCCAGAGATATTCAGTCAGGGAAAAAGCATTCTGATCTGGAGCAATCTGCACACTCCTCATGCTGCTGTGACACAGAAACCACAACGAGCTGTTTCAGCAGCTGAGGGAGAATAACGGGACGGGGGAAGTGGGAGGTGACAAGAGGCACTGTGGGCAGGCACGGACGTGCTTGAAACCACCAACGTGACAATTATCAGGCAGAAATGGGGTCCCAATATCCTGCAAGTGATAAATCTAGACTGGATGCCAAAGGCTGTCGAGGGAAGGAGCAGGGGGGTGCTGGGACAGGGAGGGATGGGGCAGGGAGGGATGGGGCAGGGAGGGATGTTCAGTGGCAACACAACAGCAGCCACAGGCAGCGAAGGCATGGCAGGCATGCAGAAAAATCAAAGGCAAACCTACTGGAAATTCTGAAATCTGCCTTATAGTCATTTTTTTCTACATCATCAAAAGTACCAGTGGTTCCTGAGTCAATGCCCGTATGTTCCACAATACCATGATCCTAATAATTGCCAGGGAGAAAAACAAGTATAAGTCACAGCAAACTCGAGCACTGTGCCTCTTTAAGAACTGTGTCTTTCGGTTTGTCCCAAGTTACTCAGATCACCAGACAGCTGCTGGTTCAAGACATCTGCACCAAACCAGCAATATTTACAGTTACACACAGCAGTGAAGTTAATGGATCCTTTTCAGCTTTCTCAAAGAGGAAGAGACAAGGGGACACAAAGACCCCCAGTGTCTCACACCTGAAATACTAATACTTCACTGACAACCCACATTTAATGAAAGAGAATAACAAACATGGGAACAGCACAAAGCATTACCTCCAGTTTCACACCACGATCCTTTGAACAGTGTTCATCTACGGCTTCCCCATGAGGGGAGTGTGGTCTGGGAGCTGCAGTGAGGGACAAGTCCCCACGAGATATTGGAGTGCACATGTAGGCATCGTGGGAGAAAACATCATGTTGAGTGAATTCTGAGAAAAGCAGCACCGAATTCACAAACTCTGTCTTCTCACGGTCACTGCTTGGGTCAGCTACACAAAAAAGAAAAAAACCAGAAGTTAAACTGTAGTTTCAGCTTGTAAGTGTTTGGGTTTGAACTGTTCAAACAGCTGGCCTTTCCTCCCAAGTGCTGTCTTACCTACACAGCACTTTTGCATTTATAACAGAAAATCCTATAAAATATCTGCAGAGAACTCGGGCTCTGCATGCCAGGCCTCCAAGATATAAAGGCAATATTTTCATTAAAGCTTGACAGTGTAGTGTAGTTTATCTATTAGAGATGCTCATGCACATCAGGAAAACAATAATTAAAATAAATGCATGTTATTTTGTCAGGACAAAGCAAAGCCTAGAGAAGTACAACATATGAAATGTTGTTACTAAGTTTTCATTTGTCACAGCTCTCTATTTAATTTGACTTGTTCTTTGTCACAGAAAGGTTTGCAACAGTGTGGTTAACAGAAAATAGCTTTATATCATGCCAAATCTATTGGGCAGCCAAAGAACTACCAAACCTGAATTATCACCATTTATTTGAAAGCAAATTATGCTTTAGAGTTCAAATAAGCCCAGCATGTCACACTGTGCTCAGCCACCCTCACAGGCTGCAGCACAGCAGCTCAGTCTGCCCAGGGGCAGTGGGGTCTGACCCAGCCCTGCAGCCCCAGGTCCTGCTCCCCCCAACACTCTCAGGAACGAGGGATGAGGCTGGTGGAGCACCCCAAAACACACACCTGAGCCCAGCTGAGCTGCCCTCCCCAAAATACTGCCAGGATGTGCTTTTCAGTTTTGGAGACTCGGGAGCTCAACCCCTGCAAAACCAACACAACAACACAGAATTTGTGCAGTGCTCCAGAACACCAAAGGACATTTCAAACACGGGGAACATCCCCAGCTCCTTCCCCTGCCTTTCAGAGCTCCCTGGGCCAAGGAGGACAATTACCACATCTGAAGGAAGCACAGCGGATACACGAGGCTTAATAATACAAATAGCTGGATGCTTTATCAAAACCAGGGTCATCACTGGCACGAGAGCAGAGCACTGCCAATATCTCTGAGTCTGAAACACATTTTAAGAAATTTCTCCTTTTTCGGACATGGAGAGTTTTCAGTACTGTGTTTCAAACCTCTTAAAATCTGTTTTACTTTAAGGGCATCAGCAAACAAAGATGCCCTAACCAGCAGTCCTGGAGGTGCCAGAAACACAAGCCATGCTATCAGTTTTGTCAGACCAAGACATGTCATGGAGCAGCCCTCGATGAACAAAGATCCTCTTTTCAATCCACTCTCTGTCAGCCAACAGCTTTCAGCTGTGACACTTGAGTGTCATTTCTAAGTCAGTCACTTAGAGCATGGATGTGTCAGAAAGAGACAAGTGTTTGGTGTTAAATATGCACAGAGTGCAAGTCATTTCCCCAAATCTCAAACAGCTTTAACAGAAATAAACACAGTTTCTGTCAATTTTCCTTTTGGAGGAAAAAAAAACAAAAACAAAAATCATAGAAGGATCCTATAACAAGGATCAAGGAGATTTAAAAGAAACAAGATAGGAGATTTAGAAAGAAATGTGCACATGAGCTGATAATCACAGAAACTCAAACACCCCCTGCAGCAAACCAGTAACTTCAGCAGCCAGGCAGAAGACCAGTTGCTCCTGACCTACTTTGGAATATAAATGAGTTCATACTCACACAACGAGGGAGCTTGTGCATCCAAAAACCTTAGCAGGACATTCTGGAAAACAGGAAAACTGGAACCTGTCAAGGAGGCTGAAGACAGAGATTCCTTTTCATCTGGGACTTCAGCCTCACCACATCTCTGCACAGTTAAACAAATGGAAGAGCACGTCTCTGCACCCAAATGCACACAATATTCCCACTGCTTGCACCTGAGGCCACCACACGTGTTCCTGGTTCCATCCTCAGCACAAACTCCAGACTCACTCTAGAACGACAGGCTTCTCTCATTACCTAGTTTGGTTATTTCTAAGGTGTTTTATTTAACCATTTTGTACTTACTGAGTGGAAAGGAACGTCTGAGACATGTTCCACCAGCTGCAATGACACAGTTTCACAGAAAACCAAAAATTCAAGATACAGAACTTCCAGGACCTCTGTGAACACAAAAGGGAAATTCTCCCCTGTGTAAATTACAAATTGAACAATGAGGGGGCAAACCCCTCTGCTCGAGGTGGATTTGGGTGCAGTGAGGCAGGAACAGTGCAGGTCCCTTCCCCCAGTCTCTGGTTTGTGGTGAGAGCAAAGCAAAGAGGTTCTGGAAAGCAAAAGTCTCTCTCCACGTCCTGTCCGTGTGTCCTGAGCAGCTGTGAGTGCTCCCCCCACACCCCTGACAATCACACACCCCACAATCACACACCACTTTGCTGGAGACCCTTTTTTCCAGGAAAATCCCCCCCAGCAGAGCCCTGTGTGGCACAGACCCAGTTGGCCCTGCCCTGAGGCCAAGGCAGAGTTCCCAGCAGTGCCAGGGATGCAGAGCTGTGACCCCACAGGGACACCCCACAGGGACACCCTGCCCTGCTCCAGCTGATGGCCTTGTCCCAGCAGCCAGACCCACAGCCCTCCAGTCTCCAGTTCCTGTGGCACCCCTTTAGTCAGACAAGTAGTCCAGAGAAGTGAGAGACTTCAAAGAGACATAAGTCAGCTACCACAGACCATTCTGAACCAGGCTGAAATGACCTACTTTAAATAGAAGGCTTTTTCATTCCAAATTTGTCTAGAATTTTAAAAAATATTAATTGATGAAAAGATTGCCAGTGCTCCAAACTCACTCCTTTTGTAATGAGATGAGATTAAAGTGAGGCTTCCTTAGAAATACCTTACTCTTTAAGCAAACTGTCACACTGTGCTACGAGTAGAAACAACTTACTTCTGCCTCAATCTCTGCTTGCCTCTTCTCCAGAAGCTTGGCCACGGCCATGGCCCCATGCTTCCCGGACCTCTTACAGCTCACAGCCCACTCACAGAGCAGCATCACCACAGCCTCGTCATCTGGGGCAACCTGGGCAGGGCAGAACAGACAGAGAGCAGCTCACCCACACAGCCCACAGGCTGATCTGGGAGCAAAGAGCCTGCACAGCCAGAGCTCTGCAGCAGGAAAACCCAAACCAGCTTGGTCCTCCCTACTGACAGATGCACACACTTGCTGTCATTTGCACACATTTGCTTCATTCACAGTGTTTTCACATGAAACATAAGGAAACCCCAGTTTTCACGCTGCTGATACTCAAATCAAGGTTTCACTTTATCATCAAGTTGCTTCACAGAACCAGAGAAGGGTGATGTGCTGTGTGAGCAGGAGGAACAGGAACAGTGCACCCACAGAGCCTCCCAGCCCACTCACCACAAGGGATTTACGTGCTCCTTGTTTTGATTCCTCCAGACCTCCTCCATCTGTTTCCAGACTGTGACTTGCACCCCACTGACACGTTACAACAAACAAAACAAAACATCCTCCCACGTGTGAAGGCGTTATCTGTCAGATAACCAAGGTCAAAAACTTCCCAAAAAGCTCTGTTTCTTTCTGACATTTTTAAGAAACAGCATATGTCTTTTGAATCCCATCTGTACAGGACAGTGGGATGCAGTGTGAGAGCTCATCCCACCTCTGTTCTCACTGACCACCCACCCTTGGGAAGGATTTTTGCCTTGTGTGCTCCTGAGCTGGCTCTGCTGAACTTGCCCGTCCCTCCCAAGCTGGCCACCACCTCTGAACACTTCAACATACCGACCTGCAAATTAAAGAGATGTGATTTTTCTTCTTCTCCTCTCAAGGTCAGTGGAAGCTACACTGAGCAGTGACCATCACAAGGGCCAGAGCCAAGCACGGCACCCTCGGAAAATGAACACTTTTCTCAAAGTGATTGGGAATTACAGACCCACAAGTAAAGTTCCTTCTTCAAAGCTGTCCCAGCTGCCCTTCTCAGGAAACCAGAGCACAGGGTGTGTGGAACAAGGCTGCTGTGTGGAACAAGGCTGCTGTGCACACGTCAGAGGTTTCCTCTAAATATGAAATTCTGCCCCATTAGGGCAGGGGAGCAGGGGGAGGAGGGAAACGCTCTTCTCTCACCCAAATGAAGAAACACAGCCACGTCAGCACTGCTGTGGTGAGGTGTAGTCAGCTACCCACAGGCCTGGAGGTGCTACAGATCTCTGAAGGCAATGCACAACACCCAGAGGAGTCTGATCTCCACTTCTGTTGGGCTGGTTGGCATCCCCAGAGCCATCCCCACACTCTGGGCTCTTGGAGCACAGGGTCCTGCAGCAGCTGAGGCAAGTAAAGCTGAGGGCTCTGACCATCGAATAGGTTATTTTGCTTTTGAACTAACAAAAAGTGGACGCACACAGCTTCCTGTCCCCCAAGAGCTGCACCTCAGAGCCTCCTCCCCCCTGACACTGTGCTGACTCACACCCAGAGGGCATCGAGCAGCCCCTCTCAGAACAACCAGGCTCTGGGTTTGACACATGTTAAGGTCACATTTCTACCCCAAAAATTTCAGGGGCAAGAAAACTAAAAGATCAGTTCACGTGTTACTTAATGAGCACATTTTGTAGGAAAGCCAGTACCCAAGGTGCTGGAGCAGGAGTGGGCAGGCAGGGACTGCAGTATGGCAGGAAACTCTCCCACAGACAAGACCGTTCCTCAAGATTCTCAAACCTTCCACAAGTACTAATGTGACAAAAACACTTTGAGGAGGCATCAAATGGGAGAAATTATCTCCAGCATGCAGCACACGCAGCTTTGAAGCAAGACTTCAAGTTTGGATAACTCACTCCCAACGTTTGTCATTCAGCCATGATCCAAAATAGCCATAAGCTTTTGAAAGCCCCAGTCAGACCCTTCCAGAGAAAACCAAAGGCCTCGTTTCTACCAGCTTATAATCAGAGGAGAAGATGGGTGAAGTAGAAAAGCCTTGGTTTGGATGTTTTTAAAAAAGCTCCACAATAACACAAGAAAGTATTAAAAGGATATTATTAAACATTTCTGCTCCTGATGGGTTGGAAATGGGCCAGTTCGTTCCCTTTGGAAACATCTGCATATCCCCAGCACACCAGAGCTCTCAGTGTGTGCTGCTCTATGGATAAACTGTTCTCAAATGTCTGGGGGGTTAAAATCAACTCAATGCACTGCCCCAAGCAGTGCAGAGTGAAATAGGAGGTATGGAACACCCCTGAGAGCAGCCCAGAAGGGCCAGTGCTGCACAGACAGAGCAGCCCTGACAGCAGCCCAAAGAGAAACCCTGGAACTGGAGCACAACTTCCACATTTCTTTAAAGGATGAGACCATGTTCAACAAAACAATAACCCCTGCTTTGGAATGGTCCCATATAAACACAAAAGGCAAGCTGTGTTCCTCTTAAGGACCTGTCCTGGTTAGAACGGCTGGGACCAATTCATCACTGGATGGGTGTAACCCAAAACTGTGTATTCTATAGCCTCCATGCCATTTCCCAAAAACTGCTGTCAGTAGAGGCCTGCAAGGTGGGAAGATGTTCCTGATATCCTTATATGGAATTCCCCGCTCTGATACCCTTATATGGAAGAGGGACTGAGCATCCACATGCCCTTTTATGGAATTCCCTACTCTGAGGGAGGGACTGAGCACTCCCGCCTGAACTGGAGAGTATATAACTGGGAGTTTCAGAGCCTTGGGGCTCTCTCTCGTGGGACCCAGAGGAAGACAGCAGACCACCGCTGCTCCCAACCAGGCTGAGACCACCACCCTCAACTGGACTGCAATCACCACTTCTGACCAGACTGCAGCAGCTCTCCCACCAGCAGGTTTATTCCCTCTCCCTTTGCTTTGGACCAGGGGGGTGGGCCAAGGTACACCACTTTTGTTCATACCCCAGGGTGCTGGGTTGTACTTTTGGGTTTTGTGGGTTAAAACCAATTGTCTGTCTGTATAATTGTACTTATTGCATTATTTTAATAAATTGTTATTCTGACTTATAAATCTCTCTTTTGAATTGAGTTCATTTTGCCTTGCTGGTTAACTTTTAAACCAGCACAGGACCCCAGCAGTTATTTCAGCCACAGAATAAGATTTTTCCCTTCCAGAGAGATTTTGTACTTTAACTCCCTTAGACACTAAGATGAGCAAGAATCTGTTGTTGGCTCTACTGCAATAATAAAGGATGAAAATACCCACACAGGTAACTAAGCAATTTGAGCAACTGAACCAACACTAACTTCATTATTAAAACTATTACAAGACTGCTCAGAACGTGCTCTATTTTCTCAGTGTTTGGGGAAACAAACTCTGACTCTGCAGACATTATTTTGCTCATCTTGTCCCTCTTTCCTGTCGTGCAGCCCAACACATTCAGATTTGGGTCCCTCACAGTCACAAATGTTAAATCCAAGCTCTGTGCCTCCAGGGCCTGCCAGAGCTTCTTTCCCACAGTGGGGTGGGGGATTTTGTTTGTTTCATTTCCAGCAAAGGGATCTCAGAAACACAAATATCAACTCTCTGCATTTGTCACAAGCCCCATTCGTGAGAACCGAGTTCAAAACAGGAGTTTTTCATTCTGAAATGAAAAGCATCTCTTGGCATCTTAAGAATTCAGCTGAACTTCAAAGACAAGATGAGAAGCAAGACCTAAATACAACTATAGAGCCCCAAACTTTAAAAGCAACCCAAGTGCAAAAATATCCATAGAGTTTCAGGATTCTACATAGTGATTTCAAGGAATTCAACATTAGGCCTTAAAAATCAAGCACTCCCTCCTTTCCTCCATTCACTACTACACACTGGCTAGAAAATCCTGGTACCAAGTTGCATTTACCAAGTATGCCCCCAACTGCTGAGGTATATTGCAAGTTATACTTAAACAAATTGTATTTTGCTACACAGGAGACCAACAAATTAGAAAGTCTCATCAACCATTCCAAACTAAAACAAATTAAGAGGTGGAAAAAAAAATAATCCTTTCTCAGTTCCCTTCCTTAGTGGTATCTGTGACAAATAATGACAGATAATAAAATTCAGGTAAGTCCAAATGTTAGGTGAAAGTTGAGTGGGTTTAAACCCCGGGAAGACAAGTGAACTCACACATCACAAAGTCACTATTGCATCCTCCAGCTCACCCTTCCCAAGACTTTGTTTCTGCCCAAATCAACTCCTGCCCTCAGAGGGACTCACCCCTAAGAGGGGCTGCAGGGGAGTCCCAGGTACTCCAAGTCTGGATAAGTGTAATACAATTGTACTCCAATTTAAACCTGTATAGTAGCAATACAGAGTGTTTACTGCATTTACACCTCCACAGTAACCACCCCAGTGAGAATCATTCTGGAGCTGTGCACAAGAGATGATCTGAGTCAAGGAAATGTCAGGTGGAAAACACCTGTGGTCAGAAAAAATGTCAGTAGTTTTCTCTGCAACCCCACCTCAAATGAAAGTGAATTTACTGTTTTATGCCACGTCACAGATTCTAAACAAGTCAGCAAAGAGAAGCAGAAATGAGAGGTCCTTTCACTGCTCACTGCACGTGGCCATGCTCACCAGGCAGCACCACTCTTACCAGAATCACTGTGATGTGACACCTTTATGGGCCATCAGACCTTCCCACCAGAACAATACAAAAGCTGCTATTATGGTTTGGAACTTCATGGGTAGAGAGCTGAGCATCTGTGAGCTGCACTGAGTGCTGGGTTTGGGTTGCACACAACCTGGTGGGAGCCCTGTGCCTGCACAGAAACCTGCCACACAGGGGCCAGGCTGGGAGAGAAACACAGAGTCCTTCAGGCTGGGAAAGACCTTTAAGATCCTCAAGTTAAACCATTAACCAGCACTGCCAGGTCCCACTAAACCACGTGTGATCCATGATTAGGGCTCAGATGAAGATATTCCTGTGGGACTACACAGGAACCATCACTGCTGAGACACAGGGACAGTCAGTAAGAAACAGCAGCACAATTCCTGTCTCCTGTTCACAGACTGCTGAGTGATGCAGCATTTAATAATGCAGCCAGTGCTCCTCCATGCTGAGCCTCTTCAAGTCACTGGAAAAGCATTGGATTCTCCTCCCACTTCCATGGTGTCTCTCTAAGTCAAGGATGGAGGGTTTGTTTCAGGTCTGCTCAAAGCATGGGTTGAGTGCTCCACTTTCTCACGCAGCTTTCACTGTGTCACCTCTGTCACGTGCCACATAATGCTCCAAACCTGAGCTCTGCTCCATGCCTGCCATCCCCCTGCCCTGCAGTCCTACCACAACTCCACACACGGCCACAGCTCAGCCCCTCACTCCACATTTTTTCCCGTCCTGCTCTCTCATGTTCTCTCACTAATGTTAGTGATAGATAATCCAGCCTTCAGCACCATCCCTCTGCATCTTGCCATGGGATGAAAAGCAGCTCCTGCCCCTGCAGGGCCCAGGACAACTGGCCTTGCAGCTACCCTGTCTACCCACCCACCCTCCCTCATTTCAGCCCCTTCCCCCGAGTCCTACTTTTGCTCTGAGGCTTGGAAGCCACGAGTTCTACATTAAAACAATTTTGAAGGAATCAGCACTGTGTATGCAAACAGCATCCAGAGAACATGTGTCTTTTTTCAGACTCTGCCAGAACCCAAGTATTTTGTAGCAGAAGCCACCTTCTCTCCCTTCCAGCACGTGCCAGTGCCTTGGAGTGCCAACCTCATACACAGTTACCTCTGGCATCATTTGCAACCTTCAGGACAAGGTTTTACAATCCAACAGGAAAAATGGACAGGAAACAGGTTCCA